TCTTCCTGGCCCCGACTAGCTCTATATTCTAATATCTGTAATCTGAACAACTACATAAAAAATATCAAAGTGCAATACAAAATCTACAGTTGAAAATCTCTAATCTTTTTCTTCTAAGTTACTACCATTTCTAATGTCTTATCAATGACTATACCCTCTTTAAAATAAATTTTAAAAATGAAAATTGAAAAATGAGAAGGAAATTTTAAGGCTGATTGAAAGCAAGTTTTTTTATTCATTTTATTGTGAAACAAATAGCAATGAGACGTTTCAAATCTGATTAGTAGGACAGTTTCAATAATTAATGCATTACATATTGTTGTCTTCAAAGTGGCTATTCATAGTACAAGATACAGACATGATATCCTGTCCAAACACTATTAGTACAAATATTTCTTCTCATTGAATTAAGAGAAAGTAGCTGTACATCTATCCTGTTTTGTATATATAGATACAAAATGTAATGTTTAATTGTTTCACCAATCTTGCATACCAATACATATTAATATGAGCAGCAGATTTAATGATGAAAATATGTAATACAATGAATATTATCAGATTTTTAGTTTTGTTTTGAAATTCTGTACCATATGTATTGTTCTTTGTTACTTAGCTTCTGTCTTTGTTTTTGCTTTTTTTTTTTTTTTTTTTTTTTTTTTTTTTTTCGGAACCGGGGATTGAACTCAGGCCCTTGCACTTGCCAGGGAAGCGCTTATTCTACTGAGCCATCTCCCTGGCCCCTGCTTTTTGTTCTTGATTTGAGTTTTTTATTACTATTTAAAATGAAATTTAATTATTAAAAATACAGCAACAGGTTAATTTTAGTAGCTAGTAGTAGCTCTGATGTCTTCCATTAAACTGAATATTAAAGAAATATGTAAAAATATAAAACAAAGATAATCCCGTAACTAAAGTTTTATTTTTCACAATTGATATTCAGCATTCTTTTCATAATATTTTATTTTTTCAGTTTGTACTTCTAACTGTAATATCAGTACATATGATCCACATATAGAAATCTTGGTTCTCAATTTCTAAAAGCACAAAGAGCATTGGGACTGAAAATTTTGTGAATTGTAATACAGAATTTTTTTTAATTTTTATTTTTTGGTGGGCTCAGGATGCCCTCAGGGCAGGTCTGGTTTGGCTTGAGGATTTGGGGATCGAAATGCAGCATCCTGAGCCTGACTTTGTTTAAGCAGACACTTAACCAACTGAGCTAACGGGCAGGTCCCTGAATTTTTCTAATACAGAGATGTCTTTTTCTCATTTATTTAAAAGGCCTTCTTTTGTTTGTTTTTCAATATATGTTGGATGTGAGTTATTTATGAGTTGCATATCTTGTAAAAATTTCCTCCCAATCTGCATCTTGCTTCTTAACTATGGTGCCTGTTGTTCTACGGAAGTCTTAGTTGTGATATAGTCATATTTTCCATAAGATATATGCTTTCATCTCTTATTGTCAAGAAATCCTGTCCTTTTTCAAAAGCATGAATTTTATAGATTCTCATTTAAAATTTGCAAAAAAAAAATTCTAGAAGTGGGGCTGGAGAGATGGCTCAGTGGTCTAAAGCACCTACTTGGAACAAGCTTGGCAAAGCATCAGGGACCACGGTTCGATCCCCCAGCACCACAT